AAAAAACTGACCGAGTGTGTGTCGGGCGACGCACAATTTAGAGCTAGGGTTCCGTAGTTCTCTGTCACAATAGGTAGGCTTTCATTAGAGCACATTGCTCTAATGAACCACTTTAAAGCTAAATATTTCGCAAATGGACCCCTGAATCGAAAAGATGTTCTTCCATACCCCCAGTGCTTTTAAAAGTCCTGTCTAACGGTACCTCACACTATGTATTAGACGGGTAAAAAAAAATCATCCTCCATTTACTTGTAAGGGAGGTACCCAAAATAAAAATGTTTTTTAAGATTTTAGTTCACACTTTTGTAGACGTGATTAATATCTATAACTATGCCGAATTACAGATTTGTAACCCCAGGGTCTCTGAGTAAAACCATGGACGGATGGACGGACAGGCGGACGGACGAACGGACATGGTGAAACTCTAAGGGTTCCTTGTTTTTTAACTACGGAACCCTAAAAAAGATCATATTTTAAAATAGCTGTTCCCCGCGACTTCGACCCGCGTGGAATTTATGGGTTTTAATTTTTTTGAACGGTACTCAAATTATTTTTCTTAAATAAAAGTAGCCTAAGTTACTCCTTATAACATTAGCTATCTTCTAGCGAAAGTCCCATCAAAAGCAGTCCAGCCGTTTGGGAGATTAGGCGAAACAAACAGACAGAGAGACAGACAAACAGACAGACAGACAAACAAACATTTTAAAAATTGTATTCTTCTTATAAGTACCGTATATACTTTCATAAGGTAAAAAGCTGTTGTTTTCACATTACAAACAGACGTTACGAAGTTATTTATTTGTATAGATTTTCCGGGCGCAAAGACAGGAAAAATAATTAAAAAGTTAAAATTAAACGCGATAAAATCCGTAAAAAGTCTAACGTAATCTATACTTAATATATCTATACTAATATAATAAAGCGGAAGAGTTTTTTTTGTTTTTTTGTTTGTTTAAACGCGCTAATCTCTGGAACTACCAGTCCGATATGAAAAATTCGATAGAAAAATTCGAGATACGTAAATACAATGTTCTAGAAAGATATAGATCTTTACTCCGTCTAAAAAAAAGTCCGCCATACCATATGTCTATTTCTTATACATAAGCCATAATTAGGTATTTTGTGACAAAAACTATTGAAAATTAAAAAGTGATACCTATATAAGCGTTATTATTAGGCATGGCCTATTTATCCTTACGAATGAAAGTTACTTCATCATCAAGACAATTTTATGAAGATAAACTTTGTTCTTTATACCATGTTATTTGGACGCATAGTTTAAGAGATAATGTAAAATTAAAATAATTCAATACTTGGCTGGGCGCGCGAACGACGCATAAACCCTAGCCGCCCGGTGAGAACTGCGAGAAGCCAGTATTGAAAGCTTCTATGAGCGAGTTTAGTTCAATCATTATAGCTAAAATAAATTAAAAATTAATTGGGTACTTTTATGACACTGATTAGTTACATCTTTATTTCTAAACTCTTTTATTTCACGTTGCTGTGATATTTTGAAAATCTAATTGATTAATAAGTATAAGAGTTTGATAGCAAATTTATCAAGAATCATTTCATGCCTACACACTTTTCATGTATCGTGTACGGTTTTTTTTAAACTGGAAAAAACCGCGCTTCGGGCCACTTTCTGGGACGGGGACGCTCAACCGGGAGGGGGAGGGAAAGTGGATAAGACTTAAATTCGCTCTACATCATACATAATAAAGCCGACAGATAAAAGTACTCCATTAATTATGCCAATTTTTCCACACTAAAACTTAACTTCGCTCTACATCATACATAATATGCCGACAGATAAAAGTACTCCATTAATTATGCCAATTTTTCCTTACATTGCTATCAAATAAAATATAATAGGATAAGGGTGTATAATATATCTAATAATAATCACGAAGATGAAAGCTGAAAGCGATCACCAAATGGTTAGAGGCACACTGAATCTAAACGGTAAGTTGGAGAGGTCTCGCCTCATGAAGTCGACGCTCCGTCCCCCTCGTGATCTAATCCAAAATCCCGAAACCTTTCAACTCGAGTTACAAAGCCGTTTTCAATGCCTAGAATATTGCAATGCAGTGGACTATATGAATGACAAGCATCTCATGGTTGTTAGATGGGAAATGAAGCTGCAGTCTTCAACAGATTTGACAGCATACAGGCAACTGCATCTCTAAATGCATGCAGCTGGACTTACGCAACTCCAATACAGCTCGTGTTGAAGAAGCGATCGAACTAAGGCTCGAAAGTCTTTGCCAGAGATCTGTCGGCCAGAAAGAGCCAACTATCGAAGCTGAAGACCAAGTGTGGCAGCTTCATTTCCGGGACACTTGGGATTTTGAGTGAGATTGAGAGGTTTTTTTCTTTTTTATAAGAGAGGGGGCAAACGAGCAAGCGGCCTACCTGATGGTAAATGACTACCGCTGCCCATGAACAACCGCAATACCAGAGGAATTGCAGATGCGTCGCCGGCCTTTTAAAAAGGAGTAGGTTCTTTTCTTGAAGGTCCCTAAGTCGTATTGGTCCGGAAAAATCGCTGAAGGTAATCGATTCCACAAGGAAGTTGTGCGAGGAAGAAAACTTCTAAATTGCACAGTGGTGGACCGCCAATCATCCAGATGGTATGGATGGTATGAGTTTTTTTTTATAGGAGAGGGGGCAAACGAGCATGCGGCTCACCTGATGGTAAGTGACTACCGCCGCCCATGAACAACTGCAACACCAGGGAGGTAGTTAGTATAGTATTTGTCTTATTGCTCCGAGTAGGTTTAGTCTTGAACGGAATTTCCCCCCCCCCCCCAAGAATACGCGGGGCAGTCTGAGCACCCACGCTTAGAAAAAGTATCGCTGGGGTAGTCTTCCATTTAACTCCGCTACCATGTTGTTGATGGGGGGCTTGGGCCTCCGATCACCTGCACTCAGCAGGCGAAATGCAGAAGTAAACTTCACCTTCACGCTGGTATTCTGTGTGGTCGTGGTACCACCCCTGTTCGAGCCGGCCCATCCCTGCGACAGCAACAGCTGCCGCGTGGCTCTACCACTGTTAAAATCGGTTCTATGGGCAGCTGTACACATCATCGTTGGAGCCATATGCAAGTGTGAGATGATCCAAGAGCAAGTCTTATCCGACACAATTCCGATGATATCCCGGACGTCAGTCTGAGCGAGATTTATACGTGGTAGAGTCATGCTGCAGTTATATTAATAGTATAGTTGTAGCACGAATGGGTCAGCTCGACCGAGGTAGGACCACGCTCTCACAGAATACCAGCGTAAAATAGCAGCTTAATGCTGCTGTGTTTCGTATGGTGAGTGTAGAGAACCGGAGACCCTTTTTACTGGAACAGAGGCATTCTATCTTAGTTCTCAAGGCTGACAACGCATCTGCATTTTAATTCGCAAACGATGATAGCTGTAGATGTCTATGGGTCACAGCAACTACTTACCATCAGGTGGACCTGGTGGTCGTTTGTCACCCTCATTTTATAAAAAAAAAAGAATGGCTCTCCAGCACCTTAAAAACGGTAAGGCCTCAGGTGAGGATGGAATTACAGCAGAGCTTCTAGAAGCGGATGTAGAAGCGGTACTGGAAGTCCTTCAGAAGCTCTTTAATTCCGTCCTCCATGGTGGGACTACTCCGAAGGCGTGGAGCAGAAGTGCTGTGTACTTGTTCTTCAAGAAGGGAGACAACGCTCTCTTGAAGAACTATAGACCGATTTCCCTTCTGAGTCGTGTCTACATGCTGTTTTTGAGAATCATTACGAATTGTCTCGCACGCACACTCGACGACTTCCAGCCTCCCGAACAAGCCGGTTTCCGAAAAGGCTTTAGTACGATAAACCACATACATAGGTGATCTTCGGTAAATTGTACAGAAGACTGAAGAGTACAATCTGCCACTTTGCCTTGGTTATGTGGACTATGAGAAAGCCTTTGATTGCCAAGTTGGCTGTCGGTATATCGAGGTGCTGAAGTGTTTGTACAGTAGGGCTACGATAGCGATCCGAGTACAGGAACCAGAGTACGAAACCTAACCAACTGCAGAGAGGTTGGAAGACAGGGTTACGTTATATTCCCGAAACTCTTCACCGCTGCATTGGAAGATGTTTTCAAGCTACTGGACTGCAAAGGATACGGTATTAACATCAATGGCGAGAACATCACACTCCTTCGATTTGCTGACGATATCGTCCTTATGGCAGAATCGCTGGAGGTCCTAAGCACTATGCTCAATGACCTCAATAGTGTCTCCCAACGCATAGGTATTAAGATGAGCATGGACAAAACAAAGATCACGTGTAATGTCCATGTCACCACACCTATGCCGGTAGTTGTTCGGAGCACTAAGCTCGAATTTTCTCCTTAGATAGAAGATATCTATAGGGGAGGTCTATATTCATTAATGCACAGGATGTGATGATGATGATGATATGCCATATGTGAAATATGTGGTGCAAGAATGTATAGGGACAACTAACCCATATGCGCTGATTGGTATCCAGGACCAATGACTCGATAGTCAGTTAGTTAGGTACTTTAACTACTAAGCCTCAAGGACGCAATTGCAATAAGTTTTTGCATAATCATAATATAGTATTCACACTATATTATAAAAAACATTGTATTTAATAAAGTATCTAAATGCTTTCTTTAGTTAATTGTTGGAGTCTCCGTTGAGCCTATTATAGAGTAATGCAAAACCTGTAGGCACAAAGTATACCTGTAAGTACAAGATAATAATATATCGTGGAAACCTATACGATAAACATTTGTGACATCGACTTTTTTTCTCGACAGTACCACAGAACAAATACAGTACGTACTCAGTCGAAACTAAACTTTAACGCGCAAGTCCACAGCAAGAACACGGCAACTCTAGCACGACATATCGGGTTCGCGGCTCTAGACGATCGCACGCGGCAACACTTTATGGCTAGAATATTAACAGAAACGGACTTCGTAACTTCTGCACGTAATTGTCAAATAAAATGCCTTCCATATGGGACTATCTTCACTTTAACCGCCAGTATTCGAACAAGAGAAATCTAGAAGAAGGCCTTTTTCAAATCGCTTCGCAGACATGCAATATTCTAGTGAAGGTTAATAACACAAACAACATAAACTTGACAAGGAATGATAGGAGCGACGAGTATGGATGTGCCGGGCCCCCCACAGGAAAAAGTTCGATGCAAATTTGTGTTCCGAAGTTCAGAAAAAATTCTATCACTGCGGGCTGCAATCCTGGTCTGTCGGTAAGTAAAATTTATTTAATAATTGTTGAAACTAACTTTTATTCAACATTCGAAATAATCATACCTGTTCTAAGTTTTATCTAAAAACCATAGATTATCAAGAAAGTTAGAATTACCAAACTATTCCTAAGCAATAAAACCTGAATCTGAATTCGTACAAACATTTATTTATTTATTCTTTATTGTAAACACCTCAATATAAAGGTACAATGGGTGAGCGAATTTAAAGCCATTGTGGCGTTGTCTGCCAGACAACCTTTGGTGAAATGAACATTGGCTTTCTTTTTAAAAGAAAAAAAAACGGTTTATAATCGCACAAAGTTTTCGCCTGGTTTCAAGGCTGTGTTATAACAGTTAAGTAATTAGAATTATATAAATTAAACATACGATATTAACTGTAGCCTGTCTATACACAATATACCTATTAAAAGCGAATAATATCATTTAGTCTCAATATGTGAACACAATTAAATGGTGCATAGTAATGATATTTTAAGCATCATTAAGCTTACAGTGAGTTGTGGTAACTAAATTATTACGATAGACGGTAAAATTCACAATACGCGAATAGCCAAGGTTCGATTGCCGGTGGCGCTAAAGAAACAATTTTTAATTGCAATTTTAACCCATTCAATGTACCGTGTACTACTTATACATTGTTTTTAGATTGGTATAGGATTGCCGTCCCATTGGATTATGACAGTGAGGGAATAGATAATCCTGTCTTGCTGGCTAGTTCTTTAACTCATGTGATGGCTAGTCTCCATTGATACTGGAAGCCGTGGCCGAAATTTCAAATTATCATTATTACAAGAGCAGGTGTTTGTCATGTACCCTAAACTCAATTTCTTTTCTGCCGACTTCGAAAAAGGAGACGGTACCTACCTAATTCGACTGTATGTTTTATTTATGTGTATGTGTATTTATGTTTTTTTGAAAGCTGGTACTTCTCGTGTGGTTCCATATGAATTTGATCAAGGTCAGACCAATACTTTTTGAGTTATTCTTAATAACTTATATTAAAGTCGGCTGTACAAAATTTTGAATTTTAAATTATTGTTTGAGACAGTTTCTCATGCATGCATATTTTTGCCCTTTGCATTTGTATATTTCTTTGTTTTAAATGTGTATATCAATTAAATAAGTTCATTGCTATTGTCTTACTACTGTGTCTGAAAATCGGACAGTGAAAGTGTTAAGTGCTGATTTACAAAGTGCTCGGCGGTGAAATGTCGGTAATCGGTAAGAAACCCTCATGTCGGAGAAATAAAATATTTCGAGCGAGTATAATTTTTATTCGAAGATAGATGTAGATATCTATGGACCACAGTATCAACTCACCATGAGGTGGTCCCACATTCCACTCAGCTAGTTTGCCACCCTTATTCTATTTAAAAAAAAAAACGTAAAATGATATTCGTTATACGTCAAATAGAATAGAGCAGAATAGAGTAAGCTTATTTTAATTTAATGAATAATATACAAATATAGAAATAATTTTACGTATTTTTTTCTGATGTCCAATAGAGAAAATGGCTGCATATGCATATCATCTGCTTGGGCTTTCATAATTAATAAAATTAAAATTAAGCCCAAGATACAGTAAGGTCGTACTGCGTAGATCAGACCTAAAATTAAATTTAAAAGTTGAAGGTTGCCATCACAGTAATAACTTAAACAGTTGCCGTCCCTCTTTAACTATTATATCAGGGCGTCTAACACCTTACGTCCAAAACGCCGGGAATTCAAAATTAAAAAGTAAAGATAGGCCGATATAAATCGTAAAATTTGTTTTACTTTTATTTGATAAAATATAGTTTAAAAATTTCGTTGTTAATATTATACTAACACAGCCAGATATTTTACCATTTTAATGGATTTTTTTTTTAAATATTTAAGTATTAGATTGCAATACGAGAATAACATACAAATAGAAAAACATTAATAAAATTTATAGTAAAGGACTACTAATAAATACTACTAAAGGTTTCTAATAAAGGGAAACGTCAGGAAAGTCTTTGGAGAAATTAATTGGAACTCGTAAAAGTGACCACGAAAAATCCTTCGGCATCGGCATTGTTGGTTATGAAGTGTGACATAACCTGCCATTTTGATAACAAAATATTCTATGATCCAGTCTACAATAAATAGTTTTATTCAATATGTAGCATTCACGATTATATTTCTCAAATTCATGCGAACTTTTTAATTTTGGTGCTAGTATCTTCTTGGAAAGTACATTTACAATAATAAATTGAAATCAAAACCCAAAAATATCATTGAAAGTTACGTAAAACATGTTAAAATTATTTTATACAACTTTATAAACGTGAACAGCCGTGAACATATTTAATTTAAAATGTTACGCTGAGATTATGGCGACGTAAGGCTCCAGCAGCACTATTAAAGGTTTAAAGGTGCGGGACGTTTACTACTGTGATCGTCAATCCGTATACTATGCGTGAGGAATACGGCAAATCCTCTCGACAATGGAGCTCGTGTCCTGGCGTGTACTTTTACGAGCTTATAACTTACAAATGATCGATGGCTTAAAAATAAGAAGAAGACATTAACACAGACTACTCTGTTTAATCAGTTCGCGAAATTAATCTATAACTATGTTTAATTTTTAGTCTATCTGGGTTAATCTTTATAAAATATGGCATGTTGCGGAACCGATTCAGCCATAGGCCATATTTTACCAAAAAACCCTTCGAGATGTTATTATAAAATCTAAAAAATTATAAAATAAATGGTCCTTGATGATTATCGTAAACCTAAATGACGCCATATTTAATAGATTCAGGATCGCCAGTATTAAATAAAAAATAATGGGTGTGGTTGCGATTCGGTCTGCCTTCTCTTTTTCTACTGAATAAGCACTGGGCTTCACTAGAATCCCACTTGTTGGCAAGCGATAAAGCCCTAGACCTGGATGGTAAATCGTATTGTCTTAGTGTAACTGGTGTTACTAAAACTTATTTACTCTTGCCTTGACTCAGATTACAATCGAACAGAAAGACGCCGTCGGTAAATTATTCCACTCCTTTGCTGTACTCATTATGAAACATGTTGCAAACTGTGTGGCTCTTTTTTTTATGTCCATCACTATCCTTATTTGGGGCTAGGTAATTGGCTGCGTTGTATGTCTAGTGGCGCATGTTCGAAAGTAGATAGAGACGTTGGTCCTACGCTTGATCTCTCTCCGGTTGTGTCGGACCGCCGTACCACCCGACTATAAGAGTGGGGGAATAGAGGATGCACATGGGACTTGTGCACACACACTCTTACATTATAATCCTGTCCAGTGGAGATGACTAGTCTCCGTTGAGATTGGTCGTTATGACTGAAATTGGGTCTAGAAGAAATTTTTACATTATACATTAATTGTAACTTCGACTTAATTCTGGATGTGGGTGCTGTGGATTGAGAATCAAAATTCTAACTAAGATGGAACGCCTTGCTTCCAATAAAAGGGATCCTCGGAAAGAGTAATATCACGAAATTTTGAATTTTAGATATCGGACTCATTAAACCACGGTAATTTCAAATTACTTTTCAATTTTTAAAGAAATCTCTCTCTGGAACATGAACCTCGATATAATTAAAGTAATAAAATCTTATCACTTTAAATATATTAAGAGAGAGAGAGAGAGAGAGAGTATGTTAGGGCTGAATCAGAGTGACAGGGTGAGAAATTGTGCGATAAGAGAAACTTGTGGTTTGCAAGATAATGTTGTGACCAGGATTAAGAAAGGAATGCTTCCGTGGTTTGGTCATGTAGAAAGAATGAATGAGGAAAGAGTGAAAAAGCAAATTATTTTGCAGAAGTGAACGGAAGAGTCGGGAATGGACGCCCTAGGCGAAAGTTTATCGACCAAATTGGCGATATATTGAGAATGGGTCAAATTAAGAGCACCCTTAACCGACGAGCATGTTTTTTTATAGCATAAGAGTGAAAAACGAGTACACAGTACACCTGATGGTAAGTGGGTGCTGAGGCCCATAGACATCTACATCTATCCTCGATTACGAATCAAAATGCAGATGCGTTGTCACCAGTGAGGACTAAGATGGAGTGCCTCGTTTCCAGTAAAAAGGGTCTATGTGTCAGATGGAAGTCTGTATTCTCTGCCTACCCATTAGGGTGACAGGCGTGAGTGTTTATGTTATGTAGATCCTCCCCCCTATTGAGTAATCTCTAGCGGAGGCCTATTATAGCTCAGCAATGAACTTTTGAAAGTCTATAATGGTAATAGTATATATATCTTAGTCCTCACGGGTGACAACGCATCTGCATTTTGATTCGCAAACGAGGATAGATGTAGATGTCTATAGGCCACAGAAACGACTTACCATCAGGTGGACTGTGTGCTCGTTTGTCACCCTTATTCTATAAAAAAAAAGTAACAGTAAGAGATAGGGGAAGCTCAAACCGCTAATCCTACTTTCACTTAACTTTTTTTAGGTAACGATTCATTGTGTATAATAGTGTCTCCCAAAGAAGAATATTCCTGAAGAATGTATAAATGAATATGAATACGTAACAAGAAAGAGGCATATTAGAACACGTAAACGTTCAAAGTTTTCAAATTACTGATGGTTCACGGCAACCAATTTCGTGGATACCTCCCTTTATGTGTTAGTTTCTTTAGTTACATTCATGCTTTAAACACTTTTCTGTATGTAATTATATGTATTTATTTTTCAGTTTGTGTGTATCAAATTTTCAATGTTTACTTTTTTATTTTTAGTCGTTATTAGAAAGACGCTGCTGCCCATCTCCTGATTTGTTTCCCTCTGTCGCTTCTTACTACACCCAGGAGATGATATGGGGTAGCGGATATTCTTACGCAGTGCTATACGGTAAATATCCCTCATAAGGCAATCTATGGGGAGGCCTATGTTCTGCAGTGGACTTTGTTAAGATGTAACGGTAAATTTTTTATTGAACATTATAGAACTGTGGCGGCGCTATTGTCGCGCCACAACCGAAACAC